TGTGTGTGTGTACAGTGTGTGTGTGTACAGTGTGTGTGTGTACAGTGTGTGTGTGTGTGTGTGTGTGTGTGTGTGTGTGTGTGTGTGTGTGTGTACAGTGTGTGTGTGTGTGTGTGTGTGTACAGTGTGTGTGTGTGTGTGTGTGTGTGTGTGTGTACAGTGTGTGTGTGTGTGTGTGTGTGTGTGTGTGTGTGTACAGTGTGTGTGTGTGTGTGTGTGTGTGTACAGTGTGTGTGTGTGTGTGCTACCTGCACTGGTGTTTCCTCCACAGGTCGATGCAGCGCAGTGGGCTGCGACACGGTTGGCTGCTGCAGGCGTCACTGGAGCACCCCGAGGTGACGCCCCGCCTCTCCAGCACCGTCACCAAGTCTCGACTCTGCCCGTCCAGAGGGAGGAGCTGAGCGTTGAACCGAACGTCCCTCAAGCAGCCTGCAGGAGAGACGACCTCGTTTAGTCCGTACCCTAACCCCCCCCCCGATAAAGAACCCTCAGATCCAGATCTCACCCTGGAAGTCGGCCGTGTCTCCGGCGTTCGGCACGTTACCGACCATCACGCTGGCCGGGTGGACCACGAGCTCTCTGCGGCTCCCCAGCCGGGCCCGGACCTCCCGCGAGCCCCCGCCCTGCTCCAACCGCAGGGTGTACAGGTTGTCATGGCGACTGAGGCTGACCTGCACCCACTGTCCGATGTCCACCCGCAGGCCGGGGAGCCTCAGGGCGTGGGCGCCGTCGCCGAGGTTGGACCGGACGGAGAGGTGACCCTCTGCGATCTGAAAAGTGAAGTCAGCGTGTTAGAGCTCCTGGAGTCTTTAAACAGTCAGCATGTGATGTCACAGACGAGTTACTGACCTCCAGGACGATGTACTCGTTGGCCTCCCGGGACATCACGGAGAGCAGGGTGCCGGAGGGCGCTCGGGTTCGGAGCAGCAGCTGGACGTGCGTGCGGCGGGAGCTGCCGCCTCCTCTGAGCTGATACCTCACGGCGCTGCCCGCGTCGAAGGAGAACTCCGGGGCGGCTGACGAGAGAAAACTCGGTTTAAAACTCAAGAATTGAATTGAACTCTGAAGGAGCTCAAACGAGCAGCTCCTTCAGACGGTTTGGAAAACAAACTTTGAGCTTTCACACTGAAAACTAATTTCAGCAGAGGAAACACATTTCAGATTCTTGTTACTGGTTCAGGACGAGAGATAAGATTTATATCAGAGCTTCATATATTTAAAGAAGGAGAGCACATTAGAAACAGAGCTTCTCTGTGTTGTAAATGCAGACCACAAACAAAGGACTGGATGGTCTTATTTCACATGTTGTGGCTCAGTAGACTCTCAGGTTACCCACATATATGTTCTGAAACACTGTAGAAGTGGATTATTCATAATATGTCCCCTTTAAATAAAACATTTGTAGAGTATCGTTCTGTACTGAGCTACCTTTTTGGACCAAAGGAGCAATTTGGAAACAAACATTTGGCTTTTGGAAATCATGGTGAGGAGCAGGTTATTGAAATAATGTAAGGTGGTTGATGGTGATCTTTATGAGGTAGGAACCTTTGTCACCGGTCAGGTGTTCCTACCCGGAGGGGAAACAGTTTTTTGACCGCTTAGCAGTCGCTGCAAGAGTTACAGGCGGGGGTGTTTTGGTAGGGAAATTTTGCCATGTGAGCCAAATGGACGTAAAATAAATGAATGGAATGATCAATAATGAAGTTTGAATTTAGACTTCATCCAATCGTGCAGCGCCTCAGTAACTTTAAAGTCTTTATCTGTGATTTTTCACACTTAAATATAATATAAATCAAGTTTATCCTCTGAAAATAACTCTGTGAGTCATGACTGTCTACAATGGGTGTAACACCCGAGTCCCACTGTCTGTGATGTTTTCAGAGTTTTCAGAGTCCTATCTTCACTTTGTTTACATCGCCCGGACAGCCGGCTGACTCCTCCCCTCGTGTATAAAAGTTGTTTAATTGAGGGACTAGAGAAAAGAAGAATAACATACTGTACTCACTGCTTAACTGTGTTTCTAGATCACGCTCATTTCAGGTAAATTTACATGCAGTGTGAAGATACCAGCAGAATAAAGATCGCTAGCATTAGCATGCTAACACAACAATGCAGCGCCAGTTGTTTTGGTTTCATGCTGGTGCTCAAGGGCGACATCTGCTGGATCAAAAAATCTTTGAAAAAAGATTTACTGTAAAGTTGAAACATTTTCTAAACTAAAGTAATAATCAATAAACTGTAAAATAGTCACAAAAATAAATGATGAGTCAACGATGAAATAATTCAGAGTCTCTGTGATTAACTGGAATTTAAGATGTCAGACATTATCGATCAGCTCGTCCCCTGAGCTCCAGGAGTTTGTATCAAAGGCCGCATGGCGAGCTGAGTAAAGAGGTCGATGTCACACAAAGTCCATCAGCCCACCACACACGTGTTCCTGTGTTCAAACTCTTCAGTTACAATCTTTTCTTTGATCATCGACTCGACCCTGGAACTCCAGCAGGAAGCGTTTCAAAGATAAAAACCCAACCGAGCGTGCGTCAGGACTCCTCACCTCTGTCACACTTGTGTCCCGTGTATCCTGCGTGACACTCGCAGCTGAAGGAGCCCCAGTCGGCGAGGCAGGAGGCCTGCACGCCACAGGAGGGACCGCCCGCCGTCACGCACACCCCGTCCGTCAGCCGGCACCCCGGGGAGCTGTCCACGCTCTCGCCTGGAGACGCCAGGTCGTACACCTGGGGGACGAGAGGTGGAGGAGCGTGAGTGAAGGAGGTCGTCATGGTGAACTTTTTAAATCATCACTGAAAATCTTTGACCTCTAAACTTTTATAAAAAGAGCCGCCCAGTGTCCACCTGCTGTTTTGTCCGTCCTGTCTCCATGACAACGGTTACCGCTGTATGGCTGACACTGCTCCGTTACTTTTTACTGCATGTTTTATATTTTAGTTTATTTCCTGATCAGACGCAGAGCGAGGAGGATGTGAGTACAGGACACGATCTGTAGGAGGCTAAACTACGGGGAATATCAAACATTTGGAAAAGAGCGCCGCTGACGTCAACAACGCCTTTCTGAAAAGTTTAAAGATTTTCATCTTGAGCCACACAAAAAAAGCGGAGTGCTCGGAAAAAAGACGGTGGGGCTGTGCTTTTCCCCGTGCGGCCGCTTTCTGCTCTAAACGCTCTCATATTGAAGACGGTTTGGAAACAGACGATGGCGCTCAGGAATCAAACGCTCGGTGGACTCGGGGCGTCACTCATCTGATTCTCTACACGCTGCAGTTTGTCTTCTTTCAGTCTCTCAGGCAGTTTCCAAAAGAGAAACGTTCTCAGTATTCTTTTTATTGTGAAGTTTAGAAGAAGTTTGGCGGCGGCGCAGAAGGAGCACGAGGTCACTGAGATGATTCATGGTGGATTTGTTGAAGAAGATAAAAATGAGGTCGCAGTTTGGAGCAGGTCAAAGTTCAAGATGGAAAGATGTCGGCAAATGAAACTGAAGAACTGTGTGGGTGTTTTTTTTTTTTTTAAACATTCAAAGTCCCGCCCCCTCGAGTGTGTTTGAACACTTTTATGATATTCAAATGTTTTTAAGGTCATTTCTAAGGAGACTTGAAAATACAGATTTTTATCACAAGCATCTTCAATTTGTTGCTCCAGCAAAAAAACAAAAAGCGAGATGTTTTCACCCACACACACACACACACACACACACACACACACACACACACACACACACACACACACACACACACACACACACACACACACACACACACACACACACACACACACACACACACACACGTCAGTGCTACCTGACTGTCCACCACCAGGTTGCGGATGCAGCCGGTGAAGCTGCTGTAACGACGATGAGGAGACGATTCCTTCATTCCTCCCAACTGAAGAGGCTGAAAGACATTGAGGTACCTGAGGAGGAAGAGGAAGAAGAAGAGGAGGAAAAGGAGGAGGAGGAAGAGGAGGAAGAGGAGGAAGTGGAAGAGGAGGAGGAGGAGGAAGAAAAGGAGGAGGAAAAAAGGAAGAGGAGGAGGAGGAGGAGGAAGAGAAAGAGAAGAGGAGGAGGAGGAGGAGGAAGAGGAAGAGGGGGAGGAGGAGGAGGAAATAAATGAGTTGATAATCTCTTGATAATAAATTCTAAATGAATCTTCAGATTGTTTTGATCTGAATCGTCTCTGGACTCTCACTTCTGGTTTCCGGGCGTTTCTCCCACAGCTCTGCAGCCCGACTCGTCCGTCTCCTGATCCTCCCCCCCGACACCCTCCAACTCGTTCACCACCGCCCCCCCACACTGGTCCAGGATCAGCTGCACCACCTGAACACACACACACACACACACACACACACACACACACGTCAACAAACTTTATTGATAACTACCAAAAATGATGATGTCACTGGTTGTCAAATTAAAAAGTGAAAATGATTGAATTTATTGTTCATGCATGTCTCATCTCATCCGTCAGTCGTACCTTTCCATCACTGATGATGTCGAGGCGGTGCCAGCGTCGGTCGGTGACGGTGGATTTGGGAGGGAGCTGCAGAGTCAGACTTCCTGATCCGTGGTTAATACTCAGAGCTGGAACGCCGTTTCTCAACTCTGCACAAGAGGAGAGTTCAGTTAACTTCCTGCTCACAGTGAAAGTCTAACGTCTGAGTGTTTCCAGGGTTCTAAAAATGTAGAGCTCTCAGGTTTCCTCAGATGTTTTGATGGTTTTGTCTGCAGGATGTTTTGAAAGTGAGTGCTCAAAATGTTTTCTACCACATTCATACAGTGTGCACACTCATGGTGACTTTACATATAATGACTGTTTGTTTTTATTTTGAAATACATTAACCTAACTAAACTAAAAATCTGCTCAGAACTCACAACCCTCTGAAATCTGACTCCCTTCAGTTTCATTTTTGGCCTGATGAAAAGGATTCACCAGATTCATCACAAAAACAAAGACTCACAAAACTGATGACAAGAGAACTTTAGAGAAACAGTTTCCTCACATAAATCTGTTTTTAAATCGACAGTGAGAAGTCTCTTGTTCGCCTCGGAGGAGGTGCATCGCTGGTTAAACTTGGATTTAGCCGACGATCGATTGAGATGACACGACCTGACCTCTGACTCAGACATCACTCGTCTGTATCGCTGTGTAAGCTGCACAATCCCATCGACAGCTGCAGGAATCCACTCAGTCAATCCTGAGTGTGTGTGTGTGTGTGTGTGTGTGTGTGTGTGTGTGTGTGTGTGTGTGTGTGTGTCCGTGCCCTGATCAACCTCACAGCTGTGTTATCGGACAAGTAAGTGAAAAACACTCTACGTGATCAATGCGCCGGCCATCTTTGATTTTCCCCCTCGGCCGGGGTTCGATAATTACATAACTTTAATGCCACATGATTATGCAAGAAGCGTTTGAAAAGGCCGTCCGCGGGCTAATCCGCTAACTCCACAGCCGCCCCGCCGGGAGCTGACATTACAGTTTATGAAGCTCAGCGTCCTCGGGGGGAATCGGCGTCTTTGCGGGCGGATTGATTCACTCTTTGTGTTTGGTGGAAAAAAAAAAGATGAGCGGGCCGAAAGCAGCTCTGTGAGATTAGCATGTTTGTTAGAGCGCTCAGAAGTTCAGAGTTATGTTTCAACTTTTTCGCTGAAGGATGCCGCATTAAAAAATGAGAGCAGCAGACGCCACGCCCAGCGCCACGCTTCAGTACGACCTGGACTCCAGGAAAGCCTCCTCAGATCATCTGGTACTGATGTGGTAAAGCTCCTGTGAGGAACCCTGTGTAGATGCTGCTGCCCCCGGTGGTCAAAGATGATATACTGTTCATGTTTAGGTAGTGTTTCCTGACAGGAACGCTGTTTCTGCAGCGTGATGTCCATGTCTTCATCTGACGCCTGCAGCAGTTTGAGGCATTAAAAAAAGAACTGTATAGAAATATTCAGATTTAGGACCTGACCTATGACCTGACCTATGACCTGACCTCGACCTGGATTTCTCCCAAACACAAATCTGAATCTATTCATCGGACCACAACGTGACTGCTGTAGCTTTCTGTGAGAATCCTTCAACGTCTAAGCAAACTTTCATCCCCTGTGGTGAGTCGCAGAAAGAGTGATGCCACTTGGAAGGAAACTGAAGAAGGTCAAAGCTCTGGGTGAAGACAGCACTGGTGGGAGAATGACTAACTTCATGATCAAAGGTGCAGCGTCTGTGCAGATATCACAATCCAGCAGACATGGATTCCATCTTTGAAATGATTTAGTGATTAATCTGCCTGCTAAAAAAAAGTGAGGCTTTTTGTTTAAACACACTGTAAGAACGGATATAAAACAGGAAGTTAATGTTCTCTGCAGGACGTCTGAATGAACTGTTAATGATGGTTTGTGATTCTGATTAAACTCTGGATTATCTTCTGCTGGTGTTCGTTTGTAACACGTCTCTTGTCTTCACCTCTAAAATAAAGACTTCCACTTCGTTGACTTCCTATGATTGTTAAAGAGTGTTGTGGAGATCATTTAGCTGTTGATCTAAACTAAAACATGTGAACATGACTGACATGACTTTACACTCCTGCACTTTAACATGTATCTTTGATTGCACAGCTCTGGAGAACCCTCTATATTGATATTACATATGTACCACTGTCATCACTGTTTTTACCTCCAGCAAGTATTTTTACATTCAGTTGACAAGCTTGAAGAAATGTTGTATTTCATTTTCATTTTTTTAGCCAGTAGGAATGTTAAGTTAAATCCTTGTTGTATAAATCTCTTCTTATTCTTTTTTTTTTTATATTCTAAGTGCTTATTTATGTATCTATTCTGATATTGTTTTATTTGCTCTGATAACCTGCTGCTGTAACACCACAATTTACCAGTTTGGGATCAATAAAGTCATTCTATTCTCTGATGTTGATCCAGGTATATTGAGGACGACACCCTGATGGAGACACCTGAACACGTTGAACTTAAAGTCTCTAACAGACACATTTTAAAGCTCTGACGGTCTAACTCACCGACTGCGATGAAGTCCTCCTGCTCCCCGGAGTGGGCGGGGCCGAGCGGCCCGTCGTACAGCAGCAGCCCGTTCGGTGACTCCGCCAGGAACTCCAGGGAGATGTGGCTCTGGAAGCAAGGCATGATGGGAGGGAACCAGGCGTAGCCCTGACCGCCGAAGCTGTGTTTGGTCTGCTGACACTCGGGCCCGTCGAACATGGGAGGACACTTACACCTGAGAGGACGGAGGGAGAGGATTTGATTACTTTGATTTTATAATGAACATCTCTGATCATCCTGCTTTCAGGGGGCGGCTGTGGCTCAGTGGGCAGAAGGTCGGGTGTTAGATCCCCAGCTCCTGCAGCCACACATCTGATGTGTCCTAATGCAAGACACTTAACCCCAGAATATAAATGAATGGATGAGTTAATACTGATGGACTCTTTACTCAGCAGCCTCTACCATCAGCGTGTGAATGGATGAGTTAATACTGATGGACTCTTTACTCAGCGGCCTCTACCATCAGTGTGTGAATGGATGAGTTAATACTGATGGACTCTTTACTCAGCGGCCTCTACCATCAGTGTATGAATGGATGAGTTAATACTGATGGACTCTTTACTCAGCGGCCTCTACCATCAGACATGAGCTGGCTGCATTAATTTAATAATGTAAAATACAAAAAACACAGAATCTGCTGCATGTCTCCCCCCGTCCCCGTTTCTACCTGTATCCTAGCGGTCCGTCCTGGCAGGTGCCCCCGTTGAGGCAGGGGTTGGTGGGGTAGACGGAGCAGGGCAGGTGGATGGCCTCTCGTCCCCGGCAGCCGCAGAGAGCCTTGGTTTTGGCCGACAGCGACACCAGAGACGTGTTCCCGCTGCTCAGCGCCTTCGGGGCCTGGCTGAAGGTCACCTCTGTGCTGCAGCCTCCAGACTGAGCGCAGTCCGTGTGCGGACAGTCGTCAACGCCCACCTGAGAGATGGACACGCCCACCACCGCCTCCACCTGCAGGACACAGAATAATACATTCTTTAAGTTTATTAAATGTAGGCATGACCACAAATAGTTGGACCTTCAGCAGAGAGAACTCCCATGATCCCCCGCCAGCCTTGACAGATTGAGAGCCCCCTAGTGGTGGAATATACAAACTGTGCCTTTAAAGAAAACGTTGAAGCTAAACTGTAAACAAACAACATAAACAAAGTAAACTTGAACTCTAATGGGAGAAAAACAAAGACTCTCTGAAGTTAAGATTTCTGTTTGAACGTATCAGAGAGTTTCAGAGAGTTTCAGAGAGTGACAGCCGCTCCGTTTGAAGTGACGTCTACCTGAAAAGAAGAAAATCAGACTCTTCTGCTTCCATCCTCATTTATTCACTCTGTTGTTTCTCTGTCATTTCCCCTCTTCATAAAGATTCTCGTTTCCCTTCCTGTCACCTCGATTCTTCTTCTCTTGTTTTGTCTTTATGGGTGAGAGGTTTCCATCGGCGTCCCTCAGGGCTCCTGTCGTTCTCCAGCTGTGGGTTTTTTCTTTTTTTAGGACTTTAAGTCTTTCAGCTGACACTCGTCTCCTCACAGACTTTCTCTCTCCGCAGGCGGAGGATTCGCTTTTTTGGCTCCGGAGCCAACACACCCCCCCCCCCCCCCCTCTCTCTCTCTCTTTGTGTGCCAGTTTTTTTTTTTTTTCTGTGACATTTTTATTCTGAATCAGCCGAGATACTTTTCCTTTTTTTTAACCCGGGATAATTAAAGACACTTTTCTTCTTCTGCGTTTGTTTGAGTTATTTTTAATCACCCTGCCTGCTCTGTATTTATTCTCGATACCTTCTTTTGTTCTGAACGTCTTCAGGTTTTCATCGCTGGTTTTAAAATATGATGCATTAAAGTGTGAAATGTGCTGACCTTGTGACCTTTCCACAACACAAACATCTTGTTTTTAGCCTCCGTGAGGAGTTTTTAACTCGGTTTGAAACAGAATGTCATTCATTGAGACGCCTCTTTGTGACTCTCTAAAGCAAACCAGACCATCTTCAGTTTCTATGAGGTCATATCTGATGCCTTGTGTATGTGTCAGTCTAGACGACTTACGGTGAGTGAAACATTTGACTATTAAAAGAGATTATTCATCAGAAACACTTACTGTGCATTTAAAGTCACAGGATGGAAATTCCACCACCAGGGGGCGCTCAATCAAAACAACAATAAATGATGACTGGTGGGGAATCATGGGAGTTCTCTCTGCTAATCCATCCCCCCCCTGATTATTTTCATAAATTGCAGTAACTAAGCTCAGCCGTCATCACGTCTTTGTACGCTCATATCGATTAAACGACTGTGAGTCCACATCGTGTTCCTGCACAACGGGGGCTCCACATACACACAGTCAGACATACACACACACACACACACACACACAGCTCTGAGCTCCGACGCTGGCTAAGCTGAAACCGTTCTCGCCCTCTGTTACTACCTCTGAAGATGTCACAGGGGCGTTATTTATCAAGGCTTGAAACGACAGTTTGAATTTATAATTTCATGCAAAAAACAATTTTCCCACATCGGAGCTTTTATTCATTATTGAATGTTACTTTCTGTGTGTGTGTGTGTATTTGTGTGTGTGTGTGTGTTTCGACATGTGTGCACTGACTGCGGTCACCTTCCTCGGGTCCGCAGCTGCTGCTCCGGCTTTTAATGGATCTAAAACATTCATGTTGGTTTACACACGTGTGCAGATGTGTGAGTGTATCATACGAGTGTGTAACCTTTAAGTTAACCTGTGTGTGTGTGTGTGTGTGTGTGTGTGTGTGTGTGTGAGACGGAGCGTTAAATGCTTTACAGTGTGTGTTAAAGGTCTCTGAGTGCTGAACATGGATCCACTCTCTGAGTCTACGGTCTGACACACTTAGGTTGTGTTTCCTGTGAGGAACTTTGAGGTTGTGGCGCCCCCTGTGGACAAAGCAGTACATCTTATTCTTTGTCCAACTTGTCCTTCTTTTCTCCCCAAAATAAGCCCTCATCCTTCTTTCTGAAAATGTATCATACCGGTCATTTCTAGACACCATCCCGGCTCTCGGGCTCGGCTCACCTTGGCTTTGTTTGCTGCGATGTAGCCGTGCAGCTTCTCCGCCTTGTAGTATGGCGAGCCGTGAGCAGCGAACCACACGTTTAACTCTTTCTCTCCCGAACGCCGGCTTCACCCACGGAGAAGACGTGGACGTTTTCAGGTGAAGTCTGCAGGAGTTCAGCCAACACCAGACCCAGACGCACGAACCGACTCTCCTCACCGCCAACGCTCCTGAAGAAGTCGTCCAGTGTCAGATCTGCAGGCGGAGAAGCAAAATGACAGGAAAAGACGGTAAAAGAGGAAAAATGAGAGAGAGAAGACGAGGGCGTTATGTCCCATCATGCTTATGCTAACACAGGTTCATGATAATGAACGCTGATGTAGTATAACATCTAGTTTAAAGTTATGGGTGACGTCATCGTCCTCATCGTGTGGGACTCACTGCTGATGCGGATGGACGCGGCGTTCTGCAGGGCGTCCTGCTGCAGCTCCCTGACCTCCACCTGAGCCGTGGAGGTGACGTCAGGCCAGGTGAGGTCAGACACTCGGACCTGCAGGTGATACGAGCCGGGAGGAGTCCCCTCTCTGATACTGAGCTGACCAGAGCTCTGATTCAGACTGAACAACCTGAGAGAGAGAGAGAGAGAGGGAGAGAGAGAGGGAGAGAGAGAGAGAGAGAGAGGAGAGAGAGAGAGAGAGAGAGAGAGAGAGAGGGAGAGAGAGAGAGAGAGAGGAGAGAGAGGAGAGAGAGAGAGAGAGAGAGAGAGAGAGGGAGGGAGAGAGGGAGAGAGAGAGAGAGAGAGAGGAGAGAGAGAGAGAGAGAGAGAGAGAGAGGGAGAGGGGAGAGAGAGAGAGAGAGAGAGAGAGAGAGAGAGAGAGAGAGAGGGAGAGGAGAGAGGGAGAGAGAGAGAGAGAGAGAGAGAGAGAGAGAGTCAGAAATCGGGTTATGAGAGAGTAGGGACTGACACTGCTGGAAAGGAGCCACAGTTCAGTCTTGGTCTTGTGTCGTTCTAGGAGCACTCTGGTCTCGGCTACTCTGGTCTGGAATCATATTTTTTTAACAGTAAAAATTCTAAAGTCTTCGTTGCTCCTCGTTGAAGTAACACTGATGCACTGATTGAGTTTCACTTAAAGACCCTAGAATATCTTGATTATACATCATGTCATCTCCAGATTTGGGAACATTTGAACCCGACGTCAGGAAAGCGCTGCAGACATTCAGTTAATTCTGTTTCATCGTGAATGAATTTCAGGAGAAAAACAGGTTTCTGATTAAAGATTCTGATATGGGACCGTCTGAGTGGACTTCATGAAGTCTGCTCTCATGTTGTTCATCATCTTTTTTTCATGCCTTCTTTAAATCCTCTGATCAGACTCTGACCAGATGGAGGTCTGTGAGTGAACGTGGATCCTCTGCGGGGGAAGGAGGGGGAGGGGCTTGATGTGAAAGTGTTGGCGCTGTGCCTGCAGATTTGATCCCATCCCTGGATCCAAGCCCGGTCCTGATGTTAGCCACCGGGGCTCGTGTTACTGTTTAGACTCCTCAGATCAGACGGACTCATCGACTGTGACTGAACCGAGGCCAGGATGCAGCCGGGCCGGATCTGAACCCGTCTGCTGGATTCATGTCACCTTTTTAAAGATCTCAAACTCTGGAACACAACACCTCGCCACCTGCAGATCACTCCCAGAGAGACGACTTCCTGCCCTGAGAGGAAGTGGACTTCTTCTTCTTCTTCTTCTTCTTCTTCTTCTCTTTTTATGCAGCATGCTGCCTGTTATCTTGACTCCAACTCACCTCTACTTCTAAATGTAAATAATAAGGACGCTAAACCTGATCCATACTGTGGGGACATGCTCTCTCTCCTGGCTGCAGCGACAACATTCAGGACTTTAAATCCTCCAGCGTTTCTTTGTTCTCTCGCCGGTCTCTCGTCGTCCCTCCTCACAGGTATCTCGTTAGAAAAGGAAGGTGGCAGCGAGCGCAATCAGGCTCTCCTTTCAACGCGTCCGCATGGAGCCTCAGCCTCATCAAACAAAACGAGCGCCCTCGCTGCGCTTCACTGGGAATTTTCAATACGACTGGTTATGAAGTATTAATAGCACTGTTCCTGACATGTCAGATCCCTGTTTCTATCTCTCTCTCTCTCTCTCTCTCTCTCTCTCGTCCTCTGCCCTTTCATTCTCTTTCACTCCGTCTTTGTTTCTGCCTTCAAACTGTTTCTCTCTGTCCCAATTTCCCTCTTCTCCTCCTTTGTCGCTCTGCACCTTTGTACTGTCTCTCCCTCTCTATTTTAAATCTGTCAGCTCCTCTCTCTCTCTCTCTCTCTTTTATATTTTCTTTTTGAATCTCTCGCTGCGTGTCACATGAGAGGGGACACTTTTAAGAGGGAGTCTCGCTCTGCTTGAGCTCTAACTCATCCTGAAGAAGCTTTAAAATCTGACATTCTCTGGATGCTTTTTATCCAAACCGACTCACACAAAAAGGGTCTGATGGGGAGTGTGTGAAGCGTTTTAAAGTAAACAAGTGTTTGATCATCAACATTTCAGTGTCATTTATTCAGCTGCTCTCTTTTCATTTGATCCACTTCACTCCACCTGACACCTGATGACTCAAAGAGATGTGAGCTGCTTCATTCAGCAGTAACATTTGTTGTTCTGGTTTTGAGACCAAGCTACAACCTCCAGCGTTTAAAAAAAAAAAGCCAAAGCTGACGTGCAAAGAGACCTGCAGTTCCTAAAGTGTCCACTTGAGGCCGCCTCCAAAGACCCCCCTTAGGTCCCGTATTTAAAAATATTTACAGCCTGGTGCAAAAGGCTAATCGTCATGCATACATTTACATAATCTGGGACGTGATCTGACAGGTATCTGTTTGTCTGGCGTCCTAAGCTCCGCCCCTTTGTCTGTTTTTAGACACTATTTCCAATATGGCGCCTCCATGAAACGTCCGTCCAGAAACCAATAGGTGACGTCGCTGACACTACGTCCATTTTGTTTCCAACAGACTGATGTTCAACCTGAGCGTGGTGGAGGGTGGTGGTGTGATTTATCTCGATTATATGGATTAAAAAGAAAGTGTAAAATAAACGTAGGCGGCCTTAAAAATATCTGGACGGCCTGCCTGAGTATCGTCTCTGTGTAGGGAATCACTGTTCAGGTTTTAAAGAGTTGAGCGACGAGCGATCGAGCTGAAAGTCGGACCCACTTCCTGACTTTAAAATCATGAATGCGACTTAAAAATCGGGTTGGAAATCGGCCTCACTCTGCACAGCGTTCAGCCGGCCTTAAACCAAATAAACGCCACCTGTTCAAACCTTAAAAGTCTTATTTCACTCTTTAATCCTGTTTGTCCCTCTGTCTTTGTTTCATCGTTTGAAATGCCTCACACTTCATCACCTCACATGTCTGCAGTTTAAATTCCTCTTTGCATCTGTTCTTTTTCCCTCCTTGTAGTCATACGTTTTCTCGTCTTACATCACCTCATCATGCCTTCTCTTTATCTAACGTATCTGCTGCGCTGTTTAGTCCAAAATCTGCCTTCAAACTGTCGACTTCTCTCTCTGTTTCTCCCTGTGACTTTCCTGTCTCTACGATCCCTTCCACCGCTCTCTTGTTTCATGTCACCTCTCAGTAATCTCAGAGGTTTTATTGTTTTTTTGTTTTTTTTTCCTCCGACATGAGATCAAAGTACCTGGATGGTTTGCCTTCGAAGCGGTACACCTTCTCGCTCCAGTCATCAAGGTCGGGGGATTGAACTCGTCCGAGCAGCGTCGTCGGGAGGATACCTGTCAGGTGAAAGACAGGAGGAAAAAAAAAGTTAAAAAAATGAATCAGCTTTGAAAAGAATTAGGTTTGAGAGCGAGGGGGCTCCCTTTAGGGAACGAGCCAAAATGTGAAGAGTGAAGGAGAGAAAGTGGAGGCTTCTTTAAGGAGATAAGGTGGCGGGCGACGCCTCATTGGCACGCACGGTCACGGTTTGACAGCGCAGCGGGAAGATGAGCTCACATTAGAAGCGCTCGCACTGTTTCCCCCTCTCTCTCTCTTCCAAACGCAGCGCTGTAATCTCTTTAGCTGTGAAATCAGCTGCCTTTTTAAAAATGGCTCCTGTTTGTGCTCTCGTCAAACCTGCGACTTAAGCTGGAGTTAATTGTTTGCTTCATGGCATGTTGCTGAGCTACGTGATGGAGTCGTATTAGCGGGGTTAATGTACTTTCATGTGGAAAAAGGCCCCGGAGGAGGAAATCCACTAAAAATACATGAGAGAAGAAAATCTGAGTTTTTCCAGTAAATTACAGGAGGCTGACAGATGGTATGAATCGCTAAATAAGTGATGAGGGGGGGCGAGCAGTCGACTGTGACGAGTACTGTCTTAAAAAACATGAGCTCTCAGGAGGTGTTGGGGGGGGGGGGGGGGGGGGGGGCATCGAGAGAGGTGAGGGTTAGACCAGAAACACCAGGTCGCCCCCTCAGACCAGCAGCAATAAACCCCCCTGTACAACATCAGGAAGATCAGACCTTACCTGTCAGAACATGCTACATGCTACATGCTACATGCTACACAGCTCCTGGTACAGGCTCTTGTGATGTCTCTACTGGCAGGTCTTCCTACATGCACTATCAAACCTCTGCAGATGATACAAAATGCAGCAGCACGACTGGTCTTCAACCTTCCTAAAAGAGCACATGTCACTCCTCTGTTCATCTCCTCACACTGGCTCCCAGTTACTGCTCACATCAAATTTAAAACTCTGCTGCTCGCTTACAAAACAGACACAGAAACGTCTCCTCCTAACTTTAACTCTCTGATCCAGGTCTACACTCCCTCCCCCCCACTACGCTCTGCCAATGAAAGGTGTCTGATCCAACCTTCACAACAGGGTCCTAAGTCTCTGACTAGACTCTTCTCCTCTGTCGCCCCCCGGTGGTGGAATGAACTCCATTTGATCTGCAGAGTCCCTCTGCACCTTTAAGAAAAAGCTAAAGACCCAGCTCTTTCATGAATACCTACTAACTTAATGATGATGGTCTCCATATTATTGATGATGATGATGATGATGGTAATGACGATGGTTTTTGTTTGATAACGACGACTTATAAGATGGTTTCTATACTGATTAGAGCTCTCAAGAACTGCCCTCAATGTTGTGCTTTGCCTCTGGTCACTTCCTGTCAGCACCTGTGTGTCCAATCAGACTCAAAGCTGATCGTTTGCTCTTACTGACATTGTTCCCTTTTTTCTAGATCCTTGCTTGTGTTGTTCTTACTCTCTGATGTACGTCACTTTGGATAAAAGAGTCTGATAAGTGAATTGTAGAATGTGCTGAGACTAAAACTAAATCCATTTCTCTAAAAACGAGGTCAAAAATAATCCTGAAAACACACAAACCTTCATAACTGTAGACGACGAAGCCGGTGTGTCCCGGTGAGTGAGGGTGGTCGTTCCTGTCGCCGATGACGACGGTCAGCGTGCTGGTGGAGCTCATTGGAGGAGAGCCGCTGTCGATCATGAGGATCGGGAGGAGGTACTCCTTCTGACGCTCGCGGTCGAAGGTCCGGAGGGCGGTGACGGCGGCGCTCCCGTTCCGAAAATCGGTCAGATTGAAGTTGGTGGCGTCCGAGGTGAGCATGAGGAGTCGTATGGAGAAGGGCCCCCCGTTGGCGGAGGTGTCCCGGTCGGTGGCATGCAGGAGCGTGGAGGTGTCGTTCATTTGAACCGCTTGAGGTGCCGCCATGTTCTCCCAGACGACGGGCCTGTAGGGGGCCTCGAACTCCGGCCCGTTGTCATTGATGTCGAGCACAGTTACCATGACGATGGCAGAACCGGTCAAAGACGGACTCCCGCTGTCTGAGGCGAGGACCACGATCCTGTGCTGCGAGATCTTCTCCCGGTCCAGAGCGTCTGCCACGACCACCCAGCCCGACTGGTCCACCAGAAACTGACCGTAGGGGTCCGACTCTTTGGCAACGCTGTAAGAGAAGCGTCCGTTTTGGCCCGAGTCCAGATCCGACGCCGTTACCTGGGCAACGATCGTCCCCACGGGAACGTCTTCAGACATGGCGGGCGACTCATAGAACTGCGGGAGGAACACGGGGGCGTGGTCATTGGCGTCCTCCACCTGGACGAGGCAGTGAGCGAGGCCGAAGAAGTCGGCGTCCTCCGCCTTCAGGGTCAGGTTGAAGGTTCTCTCCTGGGGCTTCTCGAAGTCGACCCTCTTCTTGAGTTTCACAACGCCGCGTCGGTTCGCTTTGTCCGTCTCCACGAAGAACTTCCTGTCCTCGTCGCCGCCGACGATGCTGAAGGTGACCACGGCGTTCTCGCCCTCGTCTCCGTCCGTGGCGGAAACCACGAGGACCTCGCTGTTCACCTCCATGTCCTCGGTCACCTGGAAACAAACAGAGAATCTTTAACGTCTCTGATGAGCGAGCTGCTACTCGAACACACCGCGGCGCGTTGGACTCACCTGAGCGCTGTAGAGTCTTTGAGTGAAGACCGGCGGGTGATCGTTGACATCAGAAATCAAGATGGTGGCCGTCCCCGTTCCCGCCAAACCCCCTCCGTCCCTGGCCTCCACCACGACCAGGTACCGCTCCTCGGCCTCGCGGTCCAGCGAGCGCAGCACCGTGTAGATGGTCCCCGTGCTGGCGTTGATGGAGAACAGGTTGAGGTTGATCTCGTTGCGCACGTTCCTGATGATGCTGTAGGTCAGCATGGCGTTCTTGCCCTCGTTGGGGTCGTCCAGGTCCATGGCTCGCATCTCCATCACGGAGGTGTCGGCGGGAGAGTTTTCGGGCACTTGGCCGACGAAACATCCGTCTATTTCCAGCGCCGGACACGGGAAGAAGGGCGCGTTGTCGTTGACATCTTTGACCTCCAAGAGGACGTCGGCGAATCCCGTGAGTCCCGCCCCGCCTTCGTCCGTAGCCAGCACGAGGAACCTCCACGCCGCCCTCTCCTCTCGGTCCAGGCGTCTTTGGGAGTAGATTCTCCCGGTGCGTTCGTCGATGGTGAACTCGCCGCCAGCGCCCTGGCCGTGGAGGGAGTATCGTAGAGCGGTCTGGTCGGCCTCCTGGTCGGGATCTGTGGCCGAAACCTGAAATGAAAACATCCAAAATCAAACATCTAGGTCGTCTATTCCATCTAATCTAGGATAAAGTATTACAGACTGGGTGATCTCATATAATTTCAAGAAATACATTTTTAATAACAGACTGGATAAAAACAGAAGATCAAATAGAATCAAACTCAAAAGTCTTTGTGATCAGCTGGATGTTGAAGCTGCTTAAACCAACAAAACAATGACTTAGGACAAAAAAAATCTAATATTTGAATCAAGACACTGATTTATTTTTGTCTTTAAAGGCTTTATATGTGATTTTTTTATCCAGCAGATGTCGCCCTTGAGCACCAGCATGAAACCAAAACAACTCATGCTGCATTGTTGTGTTAGCATGCTAATGCTAGCAATCTTTATTATGCTGGTATCTTCACACTGCATGTAAATTTACCTGAAATGAGCGTGATCTAGAAACACAGTTAAGCAGTGAGTACAGTATGTTATTCTTCTTTTCTCTAGTCCCTCAATTAAACTACTTTTATACACGAGGGGAGGAGTCAGCCGGCCGTCCGGGCGATGTAAACAAACTGAAGATAGGACTCTGAAAACATCACAGACAGTGGGACTCGGGTGTTACACCCATTGTAGACAGTCATGACTCACAGAGTTATTTTCAGAGGAGATACTTGATTTCTATTATATTTAAGTGTGAAAAATCACATAGAAAGACTTTAAGAACAAAAATAAATCACTGTCTTGAATCAAATATTGGATTTTTTATGTCTTGAGTTATTATATTGGTTTAAGCAGCCTCAGCATCCAGCTGATCTCAAGAATTTGAATTGTCTGTTATTAAAAATGTATTTCTGAAACCTCGTTCATGGACGTTAGAGAGAGGCTTGAGGATGTTCACATTGGTTATATTTGATCCAAATGAAGTCTTATTGATTGATTGATATATACAGAGGATATACTTGATTTCTATTACATTTAAGTGTGATATATAACCAACAGCTGAACGCCATCATCATAAAACAAAATGTTTCACTAAACAAGGACAGCGACAGATTTGGACTCCAGCTGCATTCTTCTTCTTCTGTAAAAATAATAAACTGTTGCTGTTTGTTCAAACAGTGGGATTGCTTTTTTCAGTTTGTACTAAATGTCAAGCCCAGCAAACAGAACATGAGGCAGGGAGCTGATAGCAGCAGCTGCCCCCACACTCCCTGCAACACAGGAATAAACATTTCTCTGTAGCTTTGTCCTGTTTGTGTAATTAACCTGCCTGTTATCTGTGAGAACGAGGGGACGAGAGCACGGGCCCCTCACATCTGTCACCGCGACACACTGTGCAATTAAAAGTTAATAGACGCCAACAAAAGCAAAGGAAGAAGTACACTTTCACCCTTTCTTCTCCTCTTTTCTCACCAGAGGGTTTGTTTACAGAAGCCTTTGAAGTCCCCCCCCCTCGCCACTTCCCGCCTCCGCCACCTTCTCCCCTGTTGCCTCTCCGCGTTCCCTGACAACGTGACGCAGGTAGACAGTATTGAAGATGAGCGGGCCGCGGCGCCACAGAGGAGGAGGTGCAGGTGAAGTCAAGAAATATTCATTTCAAATTGGATTTTCCCCCTCTGCTCGCTATCTGCTGAATTGTATTAACACACGGGGGGCTCAGAGCGCGATGCGTTCAGGGAGGGGCCGGCATCCGAGCGCTCAGAAAAAAAACTACTGAGAGAGTTAGAGAGGAACGGAGCGTACATCAAATCAATTCCAGCAGCTAGGCGAGGGGGGGGGGGGGGGGGTGGGGAGCAGGGTCCCGGGTTGAGGACTTGGTGACACATGCCTCTCTGAAGGGGATTACTTCCTGGCCCCTCTCTCCGACACACTTCCACCTTTTTTAATCTGATTCAGCTCGCCGGCACACACGCACATTACCATGAATTACCGAGGAGAGGTGTGACGAAAAGCGGGTGAAAGCAACAGTCTTTCTCAGTGAGCGTTCCCCGATCCCTCGGCCTTCCTGTGAGGAGGTTTCTGGTTCCTCTATCAGATATTTGAGTTTCTTCCCCCAGGCTGTCACTCTGATGAACGCTAAACAGTCACAGAGTGTCAGACCTGTCGCGGTGAAATGACTCTAAACCAACCGTCACTGTGAAGATACATATATATATATAATCTAATTTAAATGATCAATACACACTTATTCATGTAAATACTGTGATTGACATCTTAATTGACCCATCTGTCACATAACTGCATTTTACTTCTCATGTTACTTCAGCATCTTTTTCACCATTCACCACTGCACTGTTTCATATTTAGTCATGTAAATATTAGTCTTTTCTTATTATGTTTATTGTTGATATTTAATGTTGTACCTGTTCATAAGAGAGCACAGTTCACACAAGTTAAATTCCTTGTGTGTGTAAGCATATCTGGACAATAAATCTGATTCTGATTCTGTGAAACAACGTCTCACACACACACACACACACACACACACACACACACACACACACACACACACACACACACACATGTGATGTGTTAGAGCGAGGTCACTGGATCTGTGCTGAGGTGTCGCTGCAGGCTAATTCACCTCCGCGTTTAAAAGTGTGACCAATGCTATTAGATGTGTCTGCACTAAACCCGATACGTCTCCACATCTTGTTCACATAAACACAACGGAGTCCTCGAGAGTGATGACGGTGTGTCGATCTCGCGTTGACGTTTTAAAACAGTTTCATCTGGACTGAGCCGACATCTGATCGGCGCTTCTTTTTGAACCGTTTAGCTTTAGCGCTCTACAACATTCACCGAGCTCTCAACACTTTCTAGTCCCTCACTTTGTGTCTCTGGTTGTGCTGTGCAGGGTCACACAGAGGCTGGAGATGTCCCACAATGCACTGGGTGACATGGATTTGTTGCCAAGATTTTTTTTTTACAAAGACAGTTCAACTCGGAGCTGTATTTGGGTCAGGCTGCTACAACAACAGCTATGATTAGCCGTGATCTTTTCAATGTTTTTCCAGATTTGAACGTGACTTTGATCCCGTCGGGGTCTGGCGTTGGTTTGATTGGCGGTATTTGCCAATCGAGGATTGCGTTGCTGCCCTTGCAGCCTGTGTCGCTGCTGCGGGCAGAAGTCTTACCTTTGAGTTATCAGCGTTAGTAAGACGCCATAGAATCAACATGACTGACCTCGAGCATGAAGACAGGAAGCTGTGTGAGCTCCTCCGTCACGGCGGCGTGGTACTCGGTCTGGCTGAAGACGGGCGCCTCGTCGTTGCGGTTGCCCACCTGGACCACCACCAGCGTCTCGTTCTCCCACTTCCCGTCGGAGGCGACCAGCCGCAGCTCGTAGCGTTGCTCCATCTCGTAGTCGAGCGGCTGAGCCACGAAGATGGTGCCCACCTCGGGCTCCACGTCGAAGGTGCCCATGGCGTTCCCCGAGGTGATCTGGTAACGCAGCTTAGCGTTGGCACCTTGAGGGGGGAGGAGAGAGAGAGAGGAGGTCAAAGGTCAATCAATAAGACTTGAACAACCTCGAGCCTCTCTCTCTAACGTCCATGCAGAAGGTTTCAGAAATACATTTTTAATAACAGATGTTTCAGCAACGCTACAAAACTCAAGATACAAACACACGACATGAACAAGATCAAACAGAACTCAAAGTCTTTGTGATCAGCTCGATGTTGAAGCTGCTTAAACCAACAAAACAATGACTTAAGACATTAAAAAATCTAATGATTTATTTTTGACCTTAAAGAGTTTGGGAAACATTTTTAAATAGTTCTTCATCAGAGCTTTGGAGCAGGGAGGCTAAATTCATTCAGATTCAGATTTTTTTATTGTCCCACAAGGGGAAATTTGCGTTAACTCAGGAGCACACAGAAGACAAGAAACACAAAGACAACATCAATATAAAACATAAAACAAAACTAATTGGAAAATCAGACAACACAGCAAAATATAAAACCTAATAAAAACAGCACAATAAAATCAGTCAAGAGCTCGTACCAGAATGAACATTCAAGTTATTAAAGTGCAAATTCATCATCAATGAAAAGTCATCATGTGGTGAGGCAGACTTTAAAAGGAAGGTTCAGGATCTTGATGTCATAACAGTCCATCCGTACATTATCTAAACTGCTTTTTGCCATTCGGGGTTGCAGGATGGCTGGAGCCGATCTCAGCTGTCATTGGACGAGAGGCGGGGTTACACCCTGGACTGATCTCCAGCCAATCACAGAGCTGACTCATATAGAGACAGACAACCAGCCACACTCACATTCACACCTACGGACAATTTAGATTCAAACCATGAACCTCCTCACTACATTAACAATAACTGATTAAGAAAAAAATAGATATTTTATTCATACAATTTACAAAACTGTATGTTAGAACTGGAATCTTTGGAGGTTGATTTTTGAGACAAAAACAGTAAAACATTAGCAGAACACATCGCGTAAAACATCAACAACTGTTTTAAGTTATTGTGAATATTTGTTTCAGATAATGTTCATGTGATGAAACTCCCGTATCTGATCTGATGTATTTTTTTTACCAGAGAGAGGAGAAGTCCCAGCGTTGAGCCGTCCATCACACTGAGACACTGAGACTCGTCTTGTTCAAATCAAACTCCTTGAATGATATCGGAGCAGAACTCCATGCACACAAACTTGGATTTGATTGGCAGCGGACACAGAAACAAAAACGGGATACCCCCCGAGTGGACGGCAGCAGCAGATATCAAATATTAGAGAGGAAAACAGGAGTGTCTCTCACAGCGGGGCTCATTAGCTGCCTCGCTCTCTCTCTCTCTCTCTCTCTCTCTCTAACACACACTTCTGGGATACTCAAATTTGTCCTCCTCTCCTAGCCTCTCTCCTCCACATCCTTGATTTATTCCACTCCTCTGGAAAACATTTTTATGACAAGTCCAAGGCTGATTGGAGAGCTGCTGCTAGCTGGCATTTTGTTCAAAATCGTGCATCGTTCATGGAGAGGTAAATAAAAACAAGCCTGCTAACAGTTAGCGTAGCAAAGCAGACGAGAGGGTCGATGCATCGTATTCAAAAGACATTTTTATGTCCTATTACTGTTTCCTCTCCTTCTTTCCTTGACAGCTTTCTTTTTGACCCTCTATTCTTCCTTTACTTCCTCCTCTCCTACCTCTCTCACTTCCTCTCCTCTCATCACCTGTCTTTGTTTTGAAATATTCGTTTGTCTCCTTCTTACCTTTGCCTTTTTTTTTACACCTTCCACTGATTCTTCTTACAAACCGGTTTTCAATATCCCTCCTTCCTTTTCCTTATTGTCCTTGATTCCTCTGTCCTCTTCCTTTCTACATTTCTTGCTTCTCTTTCCTCTCCCTAAACTCTTTTTTGTGTCTCCTCGCTTCCTTTTTTCACATTCCTTTTCTGGCTTCATCTCTCTCTCTCTTCCTGATTTTAGAGATGAAGACAAAAACAGAAACATGGTAAAGACACACATGTACACACACACATGTACACACACACATGTACACACACAAACAGGCCAGAGGCAGGTCTGTCTGTGTTTTGGGCCCGCTCTGTGTTTACGGGCACCAAGGAGACTTCAGGAGACAAACACCATCTGTGGAGACATGCAGGACCTTCATTACCACAGCGCAGAGCAACCTGTGTGTGTGTGTGTGTGTATCTGTGTGTGTGTCTGTGTGTGTGTTTGTCTGTGTGTGTGTGTGTGAGCGAGCGAGGGGAAGCTTAAGTGCACCGGTCCGTCACATCCTGTGAACACGATCTGTGGTGACACTCGGCGAGCGTCTGAGTGTGTGTGTGAATGTGAGTGTGTGTGTGTGTGTGTGTGTGTGTGTGTGTGAATGTGTGTAAGGGGAGTAGTTCCAGCGGTTTCTTGCCTCGAGCAGCCTCCCTAATGATCAGTCTGGCCATATGGTGTTGCCCTCTTAACACACACACACACACACACACACACACACACACACACACACACACACACACACACACACACACACACACACACACACACACACACACACACACACACACACACACACTGGGGGATAGTGCCGATTTAATTCGAAGCCTAGCAGGAGGCCTAAAAATTGAGATTAAGGTCAGATCTGCGCTCCTCGTGAGGTGGACCTGAGGGGGAAGTCGACCCTGAGCGCTGACTGCAGGTCGACACTCTGAAGGACTCGACTCATCACTGGAGGAAGTTTCCATTTCCATTAAAAAAAAAACAGCATTAGAGAAACATGTCATGTTGTGGCCTCAGATAGCTGAGAGAGATACTGCAGCTTTTTGAAGTGCAGTGGACCGCAGTACCCAGAAGTCCAGTGACAAAAAACAAAGGCAAAAAGGTAGACGAGCAGGTCCCGCATCCTGCAGGTTACAGGGTGTGCCCTGTTTGTAGGGAGAGATGTAACAGTTGTTTCTGTTTTAAAAATCATCCTCCTCTGTTACAAAAAAGTCTCTCTCTGTAGGATCATTTCTGTAATGAGGTCAGAGCTTTCACACCTGCAGAAAACCTCCTGAAGTGTTCACTCTGAGCGTCATGTGATCACTCAAACATCTGAATGTTTCTCTCTTCAATCTGAGCGTCATGTGATCACTCAAACATCTGAATGTTTCTCTCTTCACTCTGAGCGTCATGTGATCACTCAAACATCTGAATGTTTCTCTCTTCAATCTGAGCGTCATGTGATCACTCAAACATCTGAATGTTTCTCTCTTCACTCTGAGCGTCATGTGATCACTCAAACATCTGAATGTTTCTCTCTTCACTCTGAGCGTCATGTGATCACTCAAACATCTGAATGTTTCTCTCTTCACTCTGAGCGTCATGTGATCACTCAAACATCTGAATGTTTCTCTCTTCACTCTGAGCGTCATGTGATCACTCAAACATCTGAATGTTTCTCCTCCAGCCTCCTCGTAGTTATTCTGCAGAAAGTCAGAGTGAGCTGATGTGAGAACACAGCAGGATATAATCAGGAGAATTCACCTGGAGCCAGTGGGAGGAGCCAGTGGGAGGGGCCAGTGGGAGGGGGTGGTGACCTTTAATCACCTGTGATCGCTGCACGACCATAGACTGTCTGCACGCCACCTCTACCATCTCCGTGCTCTAATCAACCTGCTGCTGCATGTTTCCTGTTCTCCAGGATGTTCTTCTCCTCTCTTTAGTTCACTTTGAGATTCTCTTCAACTACACGTAGCGTTGATATGAAGACACATATTCTCATTATAGCGTCGTGTAGAGGACTCTGCTGCTTCCTCCAGGTGTGCATGTGTGAAAACAAAGTTTTAATGGACGCACTTCGATCAGCCCAAGTTGCTGAAAATCGATATGCTGGTCATTTCAACCCCAAATATGTAAAAACAGGTCTGAGTCACATCATACTGGAGTCATGATTCATTCAAACTTTCTCTTGTTTTAGTTTCTGTCGAGGCGACTCTGATTCTTTGAGTTACTTTATGAGTAGAGAGCGGGAACAAAAAACGTGAAAGATAACAAAATAATGAACTTTGAATAAACCGGTTCCACATTCTGACTTTGTATTATAAACCAACAACACCTACTGAACCACCATCAACATCTTCATCATCATCATCATCATCATCACTGTCTGAACAGTTACATCCCAAATTACAATCACACACACGCTCGCTCATCCTCATTATCACTTCACTACACTGCAGCAGTATGTGTGTGTGTGTGTGTGTGTGTGTGTTTATTAAACCCCGGGGCGACACTAAACTGAAACACCAAACTCAGCGGAATTAAAAAAAGAGCCTCTTGATCTCATTACCAGACGCTCTCTTAGTTCGGCAAATTTTCCACTCGGAGGACCAAACGGGATCCAGAAAAAAACACAGCAGGCGACAAAAGCTGCTGCGCCTAATCAGCTTTAAGACAGGGAGGCGGGGGGGGGGGGGGGTGTTATCTAAACCCACCCCTCACATACACCCCACCCTACCTTTGATTACCCCGACAAACAACATTAAGGCAGGAATAAATGAAATGTGTGTTTCTGTTTGTCTCACCTGACCTTTGCTGAACGCTCAACGATAACAAACTGTGGATTATTTTAGAATTTATTCGAGGTCAGACAACATTTCAGAACACACACGTGGCTTCCTGTTGGAAAGTACAGCCTACACATCGCTGTCCTTCTTTCCAAGGCTAGAAAGAAGAGCTCACCTTCACTTGTAAATGTGAAACTCCACAGTTTGTTATAAAAGCAGTCTGGTGTCCTTAAAGTGAAGGTTTGACGGCTGCTTGTGCTTTTAAAAACAACCTTTAAGATGCAGCCTTTACAGCGTGAGTCAGAGACCCCCCCCCCCCCCATTGAGAGCTCAACATATGTGGAAACAGGAACCTGGATTAAAAATAACTGCAGGGATGTCACTTTAAAAAACGCTTTCTGTCGTTTTTTGGAGCAGTTCGTGGGGTGTCACTAAGGGGGTTAACGAGGGGCAACAGTGACTGTCTTGTGGATTAATCGTTACAGACTAATCAGATCTGTCTCTCTGAGAGTGCTGACTCAGCAGGGATCAGGTCCTATCGTGTCTTTAATCTCATCCCTCATATCCGCCCTTTGAGGAGGGTTTGGGGTGTTTGAGTAAAGATCCTGGACCCCCCGCCCCCCCAGTGGTTCGGGGTCAGGGGGTGTTTGTTAATTACCCCGGAGCCTCCCTGATGAGACACAAACTGGGGATAAAGCGTCTACGTTTTGGGAGGGATTCAGCAGAAGTTTTGCTATCGTAGCATTTCTTAATCCCGTGTTCAGCGTCTTCGTGGAGCTCGCGGGGATCCGTCTGAGGGGAATAAACACTGAATCCAGACTCTCACAACAACAACAACAACAACAACAACAACAACCAGTGAACACTACACAAACAAGACAAAAACAGCAGCTTGAATGTTTATCTGGTAACAATGAAAAATGTGAAGCCAAGCAGATTTTGAAAACTGGGGAGTCTAGAGACACGTAATGCCTAACGGGACCTCACTGAGACGAGGACCACATGGGTCCAAAGTGGGTCCAAAGTGGGTCCAAAGCAGGACTTGAGTACTCATCCTACAGGACCAGTAACCATGGCACCTGTAGGTGATCATGATATTCAAGAACCTCAAGTGAATGTGGGGGCGCTGGTGGTCCAGTGGTTAGAGCGCACGGCCCATGTACGGAGGCTTTAGTCTTCCAAGCGGGTGGCCCGGGTTCGAATCCGACCTTTGGCTCCATTCCCACATGTCATTCCCCACTCTCTCTCTCTCCCTGATTTCCGATTCTATCCACTGTCCTGTCTCTACAATAAAGGCACAAAAAGCCCAAAAATAAATCTTTAAAAAAATAATAATAAATCAAGCGACTGTGGACGTAGCAGCAGAGAGAATATGATCACAGTGAGGCGACATGCTGAGCAGACAAAGCTCGACGGTGACCATCTGGTTGAATCGCTTTGAGAACTTTGGAGCGGCTCGTTGAAGAAGAACAACGCAGAGTTGCTAAACACTGGCGGTTAGCTTGTGCTAGCTTGCTAAATTATCTGCTCTTCCATTAAAACAAATGTTATATCCTCAGGTAGCATGCAGCGTAGCTACAAGCTGTAAACATACACGCTAACCCTGCGGTGAGCGTGCACCTCTGGTGGCGGTGAGCTCAGGAGGAGGGGCGCAGTTTGAATGTTATAAGCTGCAACCAACATTTCTACTGACTCTTGGGTTGCAAAGGGGTGGAACATTTCAGCTACATTTCCAGAAACTTTTCCTGGGAAGTTAAGCTGGGGAATTTTGTAAATATATAGCTTATTTAGCATCTAATTTTTCAGCTAGCTATCTACTGTATGAATTAATTTTATGTGATATTTTCAAATTAAACATAAATACCATACGTCACATTTTTTAAAACATATTACTCCATAATATCATCAAAGCTTTATCACTTTATTTAATCCACGGGATACAATGTGTGGCTTCAAAAGTCTTGTGCTCTGGTCCAGGTTTCTAGAAATCATGTGTGCATGTGATGGAGGAGTGCACCGTGCATGTAGGGGGCGTGGCCTCATTAGCCCTGCAGTAAGCAGTGTGCTATTCAAGTGTACTTGCATGAAATCTGGTTGTTTTAGTCAAGACAATGCTTAACTATATTTTCCCCAACTATTCTTAAGATCCTGTTAAGGGCTAACCTTCGATTATCCCGGTTTATTCCCGTTTATTCCCATAAATTCCCGTTTATTCCCATGGAAACTTTGAAATTCCCAGAATTTTGCATTTCTACTGAATCCACCTTGAAGACTGTTCCTGCAGACTAGAAGTCGAGTTTCATTCCTGGGAAAAGCATTTTTATTTCTACTTTGTTTTGTTTGATTTTATTTGAGTGTTAAAAAGTAGAAAATGACTCAACGACTTAAGACAGAAGGAGCGAGACGAGACGAGTGCATCTCAGATCAAAGTAAACTCTCTAAGTTTCATTGTAACAGTGAAGTCACTGAGTTAGCTCTAAGATTTGCATAAAGTGTCTTTAAATATATTTTACTTGGCCAGAGTGCACCTGAGAACCAGAAACTATCTTTGCAAAGAAAAACTGTATCAACTCGACTAAAGCTGTTAAAATTTAACTAAAAGGAAGGATGAAGAAATCGAGTCAATTAAACTCCAGAGTGAAACATTATTCGACTGCATGGTTTCTCCGTGCTGTCAGATTCAATCACTGCTGTGACTTTAAACGATGTGTCTGCGAGTCGTTAGTGAGGTTTAAAAAGTTTAAAATCTTTACTCTCAGACTCTGATGCTTCTCATTCTCACGTCTTGTTAGAGCAGCCTTCCACACGTTTGCTCTGCACCGATCTGTTTCCTGTTTCTGACTGATACAGTAAACGCTCTGTTCTTAATCTCATCACACTCTGAGGCAAAGTTTGGAGAGCGTGCACGAGAGGACGGGAAGTTCTGGATTCTCCTGAGGACTCTGGAATACGAGTGTGAGCGCGTGCAGAGAGAAGGAATAAGGTTAAAGATTAAAAAGAGAAAAAAAAATAATCAGACGTCTCTCTCCTTCTTCACTCACTCGGAGTAAAGAAAACCCCGAGGCTGTGAGGCGCTGCCAGCAGCCGTCATTAACACAGAAAGAAAGAGACGGGGGAGGGGGGGGGAGGGGAGACGTTTGTTTGTTGTTGTTTCAGATTTCTTTTCCCGCGTCCTGCTGCTTATTGGTTTAGAGCGGAGGAGGAAGAGGAGCGAGGGACAAACACAACAAAGAGACAAACATCAAATCTGTTGACCTCAAGGGAGCAGCAGAACCCGCTAATGAGCTGTGACAGCAAGGGGAGAGGAGAGAGAGAGAGAGGAGGGAGGAGAGAGGAAGGAAGGAGAGGAGAGGAGAGGAGGAGGGAGGAGAGGAGAGGAACATTCAGAGCATTCAGAGCATTGACTGTTTTTAAACATGACATCACATCTCCACCTCCTCCTTTGTACAAAAGTGAAGCCAAAGTCCCGCAGCAGACGCTGAGATGTGGAGTCAGAGTCTGTGCAGCAGGGATTGGCTGGTTTTTTGATGTCCCGCCTCTTCCTCTAACAGAACACACACCTAACAAGAAGAGATGCTAAAGTCGTCCTCATGTCACTCACCTTCGTCCTCGTCGTTGGCGGTGACCGTGATGAGGAAGTAGCCAACCTCCTTGTCTTCCTCCACGCTCGTAGACGGCTGGGGGGAACGCCGGCGCGTTGTCGTTAACGTCCGTGATGAAGATCCTGACGTAGGCCGTGTCTGAAGACGAGACAGATTCATGATGAGATGATGGAAACATTTCTCAACACAGTGAATGAACTGGATGAAGGAGTTCACTTCTCACCGGTGTTGGGCTGCCCCTGCTGACCCGGTCTGGAGGACTCGGAGCCGTCTGCGATTGGACCTCGATCAGGTAGGACGCTTTCTGCTCGGGTCGAAGGACGCTCGGGTCGAGACACTGCGCGAGTCGATACTGAAGAACTGAGAGTCCGCCGTCTCGTCTTCAGGATCACGTAGTGGATCTGAGGACGGAGGAGAAGGAGAAATAAGAGAAGCTGAAGAAGTTAACAGACAGTAAGAGAGCCTGGTACTTTCCTCACCTTGCCATGCAGACCGGAGTCCAGGTCCGTTGCCGACACCTGAGCGACTGAGGTGCCGATTTCCGCCCCCGGGAAGTGGTCGTAGGTGACGACAGGAAGAAAGGGACGTTGTCGTTCACGTTGAAAATCATGAAAAAAAGAAAGTGGTTAAAAAAGCTTGATTAATCATTTTTGTTTTTCTGTTTTTGGCAGGAGGACACGAGTCTGTCATCTCTCTCCTCTCTCTCCTCTCTCTCTCCTCCCTCCTCTCTCTCCTCTCCTCTCCTCTCCTCTTTTCTTCTCCTCTCCTCCTTCCTCTCTCTTCTCTCCTACTCTCTCCCTCCTCCTCTTCATCTCCTCTCCTCTCCTCCCTCTCTCCTCTCTTCTCTCCTCCTCTCCTCTCCTCTCCTCTCTCTCCTCTCTCTCCGTTTCCGTTTCCGGTGAGTGTGAGTGTGAGTGTGAGTGACGGTGGTGGTGTTGCGAGTGGCGCGGAGATTGAATTGTTTGCTATCCTTTCTACTGTTTTCAAAGTGCACGATCAGGTCAGATTTGTTTTCATATTTGTATTGAGTGTTGTTGGCTGTGTAAGACAGATCGTTGGAGGGGTTGGAGGGAGGAATGGCGTCTGCTGAGACGCCACCTCCGACTCTCCGACAGGGAGTTCGGATAGTCCCTCCGAACGGTACTGTCACCGTGGAGGAGGTTCTGTTAGCTGCAGGTGAACAGGTAGGCCATGATAAACTTTGTATGCATCCGAATGAACAAGGCTGTGGTTGTTTTTCTGAAGAGTGAGCCTCTTGTGTATCAGCTGATTGAGAGTGGTGTGTTCATTAGGGATTTGTTTGTGCAGGTTTCCCCGTTGTCGGTTCCCTCTACGCGGATCACCGTATCCGGTGTTCCGCCGTTTATTTCTAACAACTTGTTAGAGAACGAACTCCGCAGGTTTGGGAAGTTTGCGAGTGTTTCAAAACTGTGAGTCTAGGGTGTAAAGATCCCAAACTGAAACATGTTCAATCTTTGCGGCGTCAGGTGTTCATGTTTTTGGATTCGCCCACACAGACTCTGGAGGTTTCCTTTAGAGTGAAACACGGTGACGCTTCTTATATGGTGTATGCGAGCTCGGGACAACTGAAGTGTTTTGAGTGTGGTGATGTGGGACACAAACGTTTTGCGTGTCCGCACAGACAGCAGGAGGCGGCTAGTGCTGCCTGACGGGCGGCTCTGTTAGTGTGGCGCATGTGGCGGGCCGCGTCGCGTCCGCGCTTGGGGCGGAGGCCGCGTCCGTGCTGGGCGGGGCGGTCGCCGTCGCTTGGGGCGGAGGCCGCGTCCGCGTCCGTGCCTGGGACGGGGGCCGCGTTCGTGCCCGTGCTGGGGCGCGTCCGCGTCCGCGCTGGGGCGGAGGCGCGTCGCGTCCGTGCCTGCGGCAGAGGCGCGTCCGCGCCTGCGCCTTGTGCTGAGGCCGTGGCTGAGGTAGAAGTGGCTTCGACCAGCTCTCAGGCTACAGAAAAATCACAGACTGTAGATAATGATAAAACTGAAGATTCCACAAGTTCTGCAGTTGTAGATGTTTCATTGAAGGAAGGTAAGACAGTGTGTTGTAGCCAGGCATCATGTGAAGGAGAGGACATGGATGAAGATTATGAGTCAGACAATGCATCCATTGCTGATTTGCCAAATAGTGGCTCTGGTCTTTATTCTTTAGAGTCAATCAATCAATTTATGGATGAAACGTACAACAAATCAGTAAAAATCAGTGACTACTTTAGTGATACTGAAAAGTTCATAAAGTCAGTCAGCATACTGAAAAGACAGGTTGGGTTTGACCTCCTGGACGCAAAAAACGGTTCCGTCTTAAAAAGCACATCACCGCACTGAGGAAAGTTGGACGTAAGAGTGTGAAGAAGACAAAGAAATGATCATGCATCACAAGGTGTTTTTCTTCTTCTACTGTCCTGTTTGTGTCTACTTGTCTGTTCTTTCTCTCTGATCTTTCTATGAGGAGTCTTAAGATAGGATCTCTTAACATTAATGGTGGGAGAGACAGACAGAAAAGGGGCCTTATCTCTGAGATCTCAACTCAGAAAAACATTGATATCTTGTTTTTACAAGAGACTCATACCACACCATCAGATGAGACAGATTGGGGTTTATGGTGGGAGGGCTCTAACTACCTTAGCCATGGCACAACTTTAGTGCAGGAGTAGCCATTTTGTTTAGAGCATCTGCAAATGTAAAGATCGTCTCTTGTGCTGAAATTGTAAAGGGAAGGCTTTTAATTGTAAGAGCAGAAATAGAGGACACTGTTTTCTGCTTCACTAATATTTATGCTCCAAATAATGGAGCTGAAAGGGTAGCTTTCTATACCCGCCTCCAAAAGGAGTTACTGATCTATAATCAGGATCAGATCATTCTTGGTGGTGATTTTAACTGCACACTTGATTTCACCGTGGATAGAATAGGAGAGGAGCCACATCCACATTCATCCAGACTTTAAACACTGTCATCTCTCACCTGGATTTGTTGGACACATTTAGAGTGAAACATCCACAATCCAGACAGTATACATGGGTCAGGGTTAACAGTAACAGGGTGTGTGCAGCTAGACTGGACAGGGTTTACATCTCCAGAACTCTCAACCCCAGATTAATTCATTGTAATATTCTGCCTGTCGGCTTCACTGATCACCATTTTGTTAGTGTGGAGCTGATTATTTCACCAGGTGAAAGGGCTAAGTCCTTCTGGCATTTTAATAACAAGCTTCTACTGGACAATGTTTTCTGTAAAAACTTTGGGTGTTTTTGGGATCAGTGGCAATTAAGAAAAGTTGAGTTTGATTCTTTGAAGCTTTGGTGGGAGGTTGGTAAAGCTCAGATTCGTGTTTTTTGTCAGCAGTACACGTCACACTCTTCTGCTAGATTAAAAACAGTCATTAAAAATCTTGAGGACAACATTAAGAACCTTGAGGAGGGGTTAAATGGGAGTGTGGATCCCACCACTGGTACCTGCTGAAGGAGAAACGTATGGAGTTGAGCTCTTTCCTGCAGGAGAGGGTGAAGGGAGCTCTTGTGCGGAGTCGTTTCCTTCAACTCAAAGACATGGATGCCCCAACGTCTTTCTTTTTCAATCTTGAGAGATCTGTGGCTCAAAAAAAGCTGCTGACTTGTCTGAAACTGCCAGGAGGTCGAATAACAGCTGATCCAAAGGAAATGAGCAGTCACGCCATGCAGTTCTATGAGGATCTGTTTGGAGCAGAGAGTTGCAGCCAGGAGTGTCGCAGGGAGCTCCTGGAGGGTCTCCCTCAGCTCAGTGTGGAGGAGAGGTCTCTTCTGGAAGGGGAGCTGTCTCTGGAGGAGCTCACTGCTGCTGTCACTCAGATGGCAACAGGAAGAGCACCTGGAATAGATGGGTTGTCCACAGACTTTTTTAAGAGGTTCTGGAATATCTTGGGTCTGACCTGCATAGTGTTTTAATGGAGTGTTGCAGGACCGGGTCTCTTCCTGGTTCTTGTAAGAGAGCAGTTCTTTCCTTGCTCCCCAAGAAAGGTGACCTGGCATTGTTAAAAAACTGGAGGCCGGTTGCTTTGCTTTGTGCGGACTACAAGATCCTCTCCAGAGCTTTATCGAACAGACTAAAGGACGTTCTGGGAAGTGTGGTCCATAAAGACCAGAGTTACTGTGTTCCAGACCGGACAATCATGGATAATGTTTTTCTTATCAGAGATGTCATTGATGTGTGTAAAATCTATAATCTAAATGTTGGCATTGTGTCTCTGGATCAAGAGAAGGCGTTTGACAGGGTGGATCACTCGTATTTGTTTCTGCACTGAGGTCTTTTGGTTTTGGGGATGGTTTTGTGTCATTAGTTGGGTTGTTGTATCAGGATGCACAGTGTTTGGTGAAGATGGGGGCGGGGTTGAGTCGGCCAATCCCTGTACGGCGAGGGATCAGACAAGGTTGTCCCATCTCCGGCCAGCTGTATAGCTTGGCTATTGAGCCCTTGCTGTGCAGGTTGAGGGGCCGGCTCAGCGGGCTTTCTTTGCCCGCGGCCTGTAGCATTGAATGTCCCCCTACAATTTCTGCCTATGCTGATGATGTAAACATCTTCATCTCCAATCAGGGGGACGTTCGGTGTCTGCGGGACACCCTGTCCCTGTATGAAAGGGCAACAGCTGCACGGGTGAACTGGGAAAAAAGTGGTGCCTTATTGGTGGGAGAGTGGAGGGACCAGGCAGTGCCCAGTCTGCCGGTGGACTTGAGTGGGGGAGGGAGGGGTTGAAGGTGTTGGGGGTTTATTTGGGTACCGAGGGCTTTAAAAGTAAAAACTGGGAGGGAGTTAGGGAGAAAGTGTGCGCTCGGTTGTCTAAATGGAAATGGTTGCTACCCCAGTTGTCGTATAGGGGAAGAGTTCTGGTGGTCAATACTTGGTTGCCTCGACTCTCTGGCACAGACTTGTGGCTTTGACACTCCAAGAGGGCTGGTGGAGGACATTCAAAGGGCCATCCTGGACTTCTTCTGGTCAGGCAAACACTGGGTCCAGGCGGCAGTCTCTACCTGCCGGTGGCTGAAGGGGGACATGGACTTATAGACATTCAGTCAAAATTGCCTCATTCAGACTCCAGACTGCACAGAGACTCTTTTCACTTGTGGTCCCAGCTGGATGGACATCGCTCGACTGCTGCTGAGGAGAGCTGGACGGCTGGGGTACACTAAGCAGCTCTTTCTGTTAAAGCTTGAGGAGGTGGATCTCACTGGATTAACATCCTTTTATATGTCTGTAATGCAGGCATGGAAAATGTAACATTCAAAAGGGAAAAAACTGAGAGTCTGGGAATGTGGATCTTTGGGAACCGTTATTTTTTAATGATTTCA